CTGATCTCACTAACATGTCGAGTTAGGTCTAGCAGGTTGAGAGCCATGCCTGCAATTCTTCATTTTTTATCAAACTCATTCCTGATGCTCATGGCTACTGCCATTGTAAAGCTCCACAATGGCACTGACAGATTTACTTTCATGCTTTTGTCTCTCAAAGCATCTCAGGGTCTGTTATTTTAGTTTTGGAGTCAGGGTGTCTTAGCCTAGACTGGTTTTGAACTTACTATGTAGTTGCAGATGACTCTGAACTTCTGATCCTGTCTCCACTTCCAAAGAACTTGGATTACAGGCATATGCCACCATGCTCAGTAATTCTAGCCCTTCATTATCCTGGACTAAGTTGGGGGGGGCAGGGACATAGCTCAGTAGTAGTGTGTTCTTAACACATACAAGGCCCTCTGAGCTCCTAGCCCTCACCAACACACATAAAAACCTCATACTTATTTGGGGAATGACCATGCCCCACAATGACTGTTACTGAAGCACAGTTCAGAAGTAAACAATCCAGGACCTGACAGAAGATAGGTTGGGGATGGAAGGCTTCTAGGAAGCTAATACAAACCTTTCCCTACATGGTTCTAGCAAGAATTGGGGTGACATGGAAGAATTAGCCTTGGGTAATAAGACTCAGGCACTGTTGGTTTTAGTTGGAAAAAAAAAAAAAAAGTCCTCAAAACAGTCAATGCTTCCATGTCAGGGTCAAGATTGGGGCAAATTCCAAATAAGACATTAAGTTGCAATTACTAAAAGCTTCAAAATAACCAAGTGACTCTGGGAATTACCATGTAATCAGTCACCCTCACAAAGAAAACATTCTTAACCCTATCAAAATTTCAGTGGCATTATTCATAGATGGGGGGGCAATCCTACAAATCACATAGAAGGTCCTAAATAAAGGTTCCAAATAGTCACAACAATCCTGAGCAGAAGCAGTCACACGGACGTGTCACAACGCTTGGGTTCAAACCATACTATGGAGGAGTCATGGTAACCAACAGTGTGGCATGCTATGTAGACCAAGGGAATGGAAGTGAGCCCAGAAATAACCTAGGTGCAAACTCTTATGTTTTCAAAAATGGCTCAGCAGTTAAGAGAACTGCCTGCTCTTCCAGAGGTCCTGTGCACAATTCCCAGCAACCACCTGGTGGCTCACAACCATCTGTAATTAGATTTGGTGGCCTCTTCTGCCCTGCAGGCAGAACACTGTACATAATAAAAAGTCTAAAAACCAAAACCCAAAACAACCACATGGAGATTCATCTCACCTCAGTCAGAAAGACAATGATCAAAAATAACAACCACCAACAAAAAATAACAGGAGCTGGTGAAGAGGCTGGGTAAGATGAACCCTTATATACTGTTGGTGGGAATGTAATTTAGTTCAGCACCTATGGAAATCTGGATTTGATTTCTCGAAATCAAACAAAACTAAGAATAGCTGAGAAGAGTGGTACATACTTTTTCTTGATAGCTCTTACCTTTAATCACAGCAACCAAGAGGCAGAGGCATGGGGGTCTTTCTGAGTTCCAGGCCAGCCTGGTCTAGGAATTTCAGACCAGTTAGAACTACAGTCTCAAAATAAACACCCAAACATGGCAGTATACTACGAAATTCCAGACCTGGGACTTTTTGATGACAGGTTGAGCTACACAGTTAGAATCCATCTCAAAACCCTGAACCATGAAGGGTACGGAGCTACTGGCAGCTGACATTTACAGGGGAGGTTCTTTTCCCTTTGGGGATATGGTTACTAGTAGGGTGCCTATGCTCCAGTGGATGGCCCCATATCTACCTGCATAAGGGTAGTACTAACTGGACTTGAAGGGATTAAAAAAAGAGGACATGAAAAACAGGAAGATGATGTGTTGGGGGTTTGAGAGAAGTAGGTGGTGGTTACAAAATACATAGCATACATATACTAAATTCTCAAAAGAATAAATTAAAAATATTATACATATAAACAAGCAAAAAGAAACAATTACCAGAGGCTTCCCTTTAGCACTCATGGCTGTGGATCAAAGTTGACACACAAGGGATCTCTGCTCACCCTTGTTTACTGCAAAACTCTTCACAACAGCCAAACTATGGAATCAACTAAAGACCCAACCATGGACAAATGGGTAATGACCAGTGGCATGTATACACAATTGTGTAGATTCAAGTCACCCACTTGCAGAAAGGCAGACGGAGTTGGAGATTATCATGTTAAGTGAAATGTCAGATTCAGATTGACACACATTTTTGCATATATACAATCTATATTCTAAAAGGCTTTAACTTGGCTGAGTGTAGTAGCACATGTCTTTAATCTTACAGCACTTGGGAAGCAGATGCAAATGACTCTGTGTTCCAGGCCAACCTGGTCTACACAGCAAGTCTGGCCAGCCAGGGTTACAGTGAGACCTTGTCAAACAGGAAGAAGGGAAAAAAAAGGAAAAAAAAAAAAAAAAAAAAAAAAAAAAAAAAAGGCAGCAGTTGAAAACTTATGTGGAATTCAGTCATTCTTAGGGAGTTATAGGCCAGTATGGAGAAATGAAACCATTTCACAGAAACAAACAGCTAGACATGGTGGCACATGACTGTAATCCTGGTGTTGGGAGGCTAAGGCTGGATGTCAATCTAATCCAAGGTCAGTCTGGGCTTCATAGCAAGGTATTATCTCAAAACAATAAAACAAATCCCATTATCTTGTACAATACACGCAAATAAAAACTGGGATTACAGGTGTGCCACGATTGAGACCCACTGTTCTTATACTCAGATCACAAGCCTCTCAAGATGATCACCCCCGGAGGAAGCTGACGCCCCCAAGGGTCTCAGCCTATGGATTGCTCCACTGACACTTTCTTTCAACCTAAGAACCAGAAAGAGACACTACTGTGTTTGCAAAGAAGACAAAGCAAAGCTAGGCATGAGGTACACCTATGATTACAGCTTTGAGGCTAGCTTGGGCCACATAGAGCCAGTCTCTAAAAATCGTATCAACAGGCTCATTTGAAAATGTCATCCACCGAACTCTGTGCCAACAAAGGACTTGGGCTTGTGGGGAGTGCTGTAGCTGGTCACAGCGAATAGCAGCAGAATGAGTTGCCCAAAATAATTGGTCTCAGAATGGGAAGATGTTGAGAAGTAACACCAAGAGGGTAGACCTGTTGTTTCATTGCTAGCTAACGAAAGTGGTTAAAAATGTCTGAAGGATGGAGTGACACCACTGTATTGTTAAGAATTTAACACTGAGCTGAATATAATAGAATGTACTTGTAATTAGTTTTAGGAAGACTGAAGTAGGAGGATCTGAGGTCAACTTTGGCTATACAGCCTGACTCAAAACTAAAACCCCAACAGTTGGGAATATATTTCAGTTGGTAGTGTTTGCCAAGGATGCAGGGAACAGAACTGTATAAACTCGATGCAGGACAAACTTGTAATCAGCACTCAGGAAATGGAGGCGGGGGGGGGGGGGATCACAGCTCAAGGATATTCCAGTGAGTTGACTTATAGGCCACAATGGGAGATAATGTACCAAAAACCCAAAAGCTGGTGTGGTGAATGTAATTCTAGCACTCAGGAGGTCAAGACAGGAAGCTCTAGTTTGAAGTTGCAGAATAGATAATAAAGCAAAACATGCCACAAACCAAACCAAACCAAACCCCTTATCTTTGTTGCCAGACCTAGATGACCCAGTTACTGCAAACATACAAAACCAGACTTAATCTTGAACTGGGCTGCTTCCCAAATACCCAACCCAGTTTGCATTTCCACCTTAGTTGGTCATGTTTTTCTCGAATGCTTTTCTTGTAGAGTCCTAACAGTTCTGTCTTGATACCTTAATATATATACATATATATAATGAAATCTATGTGCATGGTGAATGCATTGTGGTCAAGACAACTTGCAGGAGCTGGCTCTGTCCTACCAGGTATGTCACAGGGATCAAATTCAGTTTGTCAGGCCTGGCAAGTCCCTTTACCTACCGAGCCATCTCCCTGGCTCCTATTCATGCATCTTGACGTCATCTTTTCTCTATACTACAACTGTCAACACAGAAAATCACCAAGTTTGCACCAACCATTTAGAGACTTATGTGTTCTACTGGCATATATGTATGTGTACCACATGTATGTCTGGTGATAACAGAAGCCAGAAAAAAAGTGGCAGATCCTGGAAATCAAACCCAGGTCCTCTGCAAGATCAACAAGTGCTCTCAATTGCTGCACTCCAATTATTTATCTCCTACCCATTCTCAGATACTCAGATCCTGCTCCATAATACACCTACCAATAAATCTGAGTAAGCTGCTTTGCTCACTATCTTTCTGAGGCTTGAAGCTATGTACAAAGTACAGCTTTTAAGACAAGGTTCATCCAAAAAAAAAAAAAAAAAAAAAAAAAAAAAAAGAATAATAATCTGAATGGTTTATAGTTAGTAGAAAATCACTGGAGTAAAATATAAGACACACTCCAGAAAATACAAGTGCAACTGCAGTTTGCACGTGGCATGAAAACTCATTATGAGTAAACAAGAAGTGGGTGAAAAATTGTAATTTATTGAAACTCAACTCAAAAAATATAAGATGCTGTAGTGTACAATATATTACACAAAGCACCCTTGGGTGCACATTCAAGTCAAGTAAGAACTTCCTACCGTTTCCCTAGCCCTCCCACCCTGGGACCTTAATATATATTCCATATACAATCATGCACACTTAATTGGAAAAAGGAAGCCCCAATATATTTTGATGTATTAATTAGCACCAAACAAGAGTACAGTTCCATTTTTTTTTTAATAAACAAACAAACAAAAATCCCAATCAAAAAACCAACTGGAGAGCTACTGGACGCTGCCAATACTGCTGACATAGATATTGTACATTCATGTAAATACACAGCCTATTCTACCCTAAGCAAGTGTGGCTGGTTCTCAGCCTTTGTTCATGTTGGCAAGTGTCCCCATGTTGCAGTGCTGGAGCTAGTTGCTTCAAAAACAAAACAGTGATTTAGGAACTTCCTACACAAAGCTCGTCTGTCTTCTTAGTTGGAAACAAGTCTAAAATTGGTGTGGAGAACTTAGATCTTTCAAGGACAACCACAGGCCGGAGATAATGAAGCTGCTTTAAGGCAAGCTCTCCACAGTCTGTTAATGCTTTGTCCAGTACGACCCTCAGGTTTTCCAAGGAAGGGACCGCCGCTGCTTCAGCGACTACTAATGGTGGGACTGCACTCAGGTTCTCTGCAACTGGAGGGTCACTGGAAGAATGAGGTATGTCAACTTGAGGGTCGCTGTCATTCACAATGGTGTTTGCCACAACATTCCCTGTCAAGTCATTAGTGGGCTGGGAGGAGTTATTCAACGGTAAGTGCTCTGAAGGCTCCCAGTCATCAAAATCGTCTTCTTTCTCTTCACTTTCCTGAATAAATTTCAGAAAGGAAGATTCAAATCCCATAGGTTTGTAAGTCTTCAGATCAAATGACCTGGGCTGAGAATGCTTCCTAATATTCTCTTTTGGGACCTGGGTTGCATTCTTGACAGTGTTTTCTTGCCCTGAACTATGCTGCCCAGGTTCTTCTTTGATCCTTGTTAAAGGCAGCTGGAAGTCTGTGAAGTAAGTACTACTTTCTGTCCCGCTGGGATTAGGTATGGGGCTTTCTATTTTACAGGGAGGAGACTGAACTGTGTCACACTGTTCCAAAGGGGTGGTTTCTGAAGTATGGTTGCATTTCAAAGTTCCCCTGTAGAGCAGAGTGTCTGCATCAAGAACTGGGTTTCTTTCCACACACTCTTTCTGATCACCATCCTGTTCAGCTGGGCAAGTGGAATCAGTGTTCTGGAGGGGCACACTGCTGTCCCCTGGGGAATGCTCTGTGTGTACTGACTCACAGCTAGTATTTTCCTCTTTCTTTACACAGGGCTCTACTTCAGAAGGGGGCTCCTCCTTAATTTTGGTACCATACTTAACACAAACCACAAGGTTCTCCAGCTGCTGCTCTAAATAGGCACTATTCATCTGATGGGTACGTTTGTAATGCCTCACGATGCTGCTCTCCAGCTTCACCACAGACAGGCATCCCTGAACCATGCATGGGTATTGTGTGTGCTCAGAATGCTCAACACACATATGGATAGCTTCTGCTCTTGTTTTAAAGCTAATTGGAGTTTTCTTATCTTTGAATAAGCCACATTTTTTAGCTTTAGTATTAAATGGCCTTTTAGCTGTCTGCTGCTCCTGCTCCTGTCCCTGTGTCTGTCCCTCCGTCTGTGTCTGCTCCTGTGCCTCAGCTGTTTGACACACCTTTTCACTCCTTAAGAGTCGCTCGTTTGCTACTTTCTGACTGCTGAACAGGTTGTCATAACTGTCCTTATGTCGGTAGTAGACATGCTGGAAGTAATTACTTCGATGGCTGAAAATCTGGCCACAGCCATTAAGAGTACAATGGATTTCATAATCCGAATGGATTTCTCCTTCAATATTATGCTGTTCTAACAGGTGGTGTTTCAACTTACTGAATGAATAAAAAACAGCAGGGCACTGAGGCTGGTTACAAGAAAACCTCGCCGCAGACTCAGTCTCAGAAAGCACTTTAGACTCTTCAATGTGGTCTAGGTTATGAGAGTCACTGCAGTGCTTAGCAAGGGCCTTGGAGCACAGGAAACGCTTGTTACAGTCCTTATATTTGCAAGCAAATAACTTTTTACATTTTACGAGTTCCCTTTTGGTTCTTGCTTTGTCCTTCTCTAAGCATAACTGCTCTTTGTTGTACTGATGTACAGTTCTGTAGTGGCGAATCAGGCCTTTTAGATTGGTAAATGAAGAGTTGCAAGTTTTGTGGATACAATGGAATGGTTTGTGGTACTTATTCAAAATATAGCACAGATTTCCTTTAGCAACAGTCCGCCTGCTTCCTCTTCCCTCTCTCCCCTCTCCCTCTTCTCTGTGGCTGCCTATTGGTGATGAAATGCCAGATACCTTACTTTCTGTTTCCTCACAAGAAGACTCCAAGTCTGTTTCTGAGCTGCATTCATCTTTTTTAGAATGACACTGAGTCGTCTCTGAGTTACTGTTGGGATCAAGTTCTGCAGAGCAGTCATCTTTCAATCTGTCTACTGAGCATGGCCCCTCATGATCACATTTCTCACTGTCTAACAGTCTGTGAGTTGCCCTGTCACTGCCAATTTGATGTTTATTTTTATAATGAATCCTAAGGTGTGTTTTTCTTGTAAATGACCTTTGGCAGATGTGACACCGGAATGGGGAATAGCGGTGTTGAAACATGGTTAACTGAAGGACCTTCTCTTTAGAATAATTATGCTTTTTAAGATAATGCATTAGTAAAGCCTCTCTGGTCACAAATTCGTATTTGCATCCTTGAAGCTCACAGAAGAAAGGTTTAGCTGCCAACTGTGCAAGGTACTGACTTGGCATATTTTCATCCTGATTCTGAAGGTTAAGGTCTGACATGGAAGCTGGGACTGACTGAAGAGACTTAGCACCACTAGATGGGCACCCTTGCAGTGACCCTGAGCAAGAGCCTATTGAGTTCTTCAAGCTTAAATGTTTCAATCGTAACAGAAGTTCCAACATTGTATCCTCTGTGCATGGCCTTTTAGAAGCACAAACGGAAGGTTCAGGGGAATAACTTCTATGGTCTCGCTTGCATTTAGCATGGATACTGTGATCTAGACCTTCATCTGGCGAGTCACTGTTGGTATCAGAGCTGGGTTTAGGTTCTGTATCAAACTTGTCAGCTTGATTATGTTTGTCACCCAAGCAGGTAAAGAGGTCTTTTGTCTTTACCTTTTTTGACTTGCAGTGGTATGGATGCACCTTCCGCAGATGTTTCTGCATCCCTCTTGCATTTTTGTAGGTGGATCCACAGCCGTCAAAACCACAGGTGAATTTAGTTCCATCAAAACAAATGGCCACATTGGAGCACTTCTCTTTTAAACTGGAGGGTACAAAGACTTTCTCATGAGATAGTAATAGGTCCTGCATGGTTTCAGAGTGATCTAGTGTGTCAATTAATTCCTCATTTATTGAAGTGGAAGAGCTGTGACTTAACTGATCACTTGAATTGCTGTCGCTGTTGTCCTTTAGGTTTTCTGTGGTGTCTATGTGAGCACTGGCTGATCCTGCACAGAAAAGAAGGTCTTCAGGAGAATGGGACTTGTCAGTTTGGTCAAGGAGATGAGGCTGGTCCACACAATCTTGCTTCCCACCTGCTGCAGGTTCCTCGAGTTTCACTGATTTCTTTAATTCTCCATCTGGACTCTCAACATTATGCATTGAGAGGTGGTTCTGGTATTCAATTTTGGAATAATAAAACTTTTTACAGCCAAGGACATTGCATGTGTAGGATGCATCCCTAAAGTGTTGTGCTTCATGGTGGTAAAGCTGGCCCAAGTCACTGAACACAATATTACAGCCATTCAATTCACATTTGTAACGAAGGTCATCATGCTTTTGTTTGTGGTTAAGGAGTTCATTCACTGATCCAAACCTTGCATAGCAATCTATAGAAACACACATATAAGGTTGAGGACCACAATGCACCTGCTCATGCTCTCGCAGGTGAAAAGCAGACATGAAATGCCTACGGCAGTAAGTACACTTCTCTCTTCTATTTTTCATATCCAAGTAGTGCTTGGCATTTTCATCATTGTTTTGGTGTTCAGCTTTAAGATGCACACTTAAGTATTTGAACTGTTTGAACACACGGGAACAGTCTGTACCGGGACATGGGTACAAGTCTCTGTCTTGCAGACGGCGGTCTTCTAACTTACTAAATGTGACATATTCATGAGATTCTCCTTTGGCTTGTTCACTCAATGACTGATTTTGTTCCAAACTTCCAGTGGGACTCTTGGGATAAATACCCCTTTGAGAGCCTTTTAACAGTAATTTCTTTCTAGAACGGTCTCTTCTGCTTGGTGGCATTTTAACATGTTCCATTACATGAGGAACAAATAGTTCTTTTCTCTTAAATTTTTTAATACAAACTGGACAGGTATATATTCCATCTTCCATGTGCATCTTGGAATGATGAAGAATCCTGGCCTCTATGCATTCCCGCTTACACAGCAAACAGAAGAACTTGTATTGCAGCCATCTCTGGTACCTCTCAGAGGAACCAATGGGCTTTTTATCTCTTTTCTCTTTATTCTGATCTGACAGATTTCTTCTATATTGTTTATCTTCTTTACCTTCATCATAGTCACTGAGAAATGACTCTAAGACATCTGTATCATTAATAGACATTTCATAGCCACTTAAGTCATCATCAGAATCTGAGGCTTCTTGTCCCAAGAGTTGGTGGCAGTGTCGTTTCAAAGTTTTCCAGTCCCAAAATTCAGGATCGAAGGGCCAGTGAGCTTTTAAAGCTAGTAAGAGCTCACATCGGAGGGAATTTGGAACTGGTGCACTTTCTTCATCAAATTTTTGGTCTGGCTGTAAATACAGTTCTTCCAGCATATTGAATCCATCCAGACTAGGTTCAATTAAGAATTCTGTAAGCTGACAGGCTCGCCTAACTTCCAAATCTTCTGGTAAAAGACAGGAAATTGTTTTACAGACTGAAGCTTTCATTTCCTCATCTTCACTTGATCTGAGTTGAAGAGCTCTGACACATAGTAAAATTGACACACCAATACCAGCATCTTGTGCCTACAAGCAAAAGAGGAAATAAAAGTCAACTTGTCATACACAAAAAATTACATTAACTTTTATCAATACGATATTTTATTTCTCAAAACCTTCAGAAATCAGGACACACGTCTATAATCCCAGCATTTGGGAAGTTGAGATTGGAGGATTATTACTGATAAGAGTTGGCAGTCAGCCTGAACTGTATTAGTAAAAACATGTTTCAAAAATAAACAGGGCCAGGGAGATAGCCCAGTGGATAAAGGCATTGGTCACCAAGGGGTAGAAGCAATCTATATTGACAACAGTATATTATTACAACCATATTATAGTCTTCAGTTTGTTTTTCTATTTATAGTGTAAGCAGAAATGCAGAGGCCAGGATTATCATTCTAAGATACACATAGAAGATGGAATGGAATATGTACATATATATTTTTACACACACACACACACACACCAAGAAAAAAAAAGAATTTTTTGTTCCGTAAGTAATGGGACATGTTAAAATGCCACCAACAAGAGTCCACCCTTAAAAAAAAAAAAAACAAAAACAAAACAAAACCCATTTAACCAACAACTAAAAACATAGTACCATCAACAAAAGATTTAAGCCTTTCTTTTTTTAAATTTTTTGAGACTGAGTTTTTCTGAGTATACAAGGCTATCTTGGAACTCTTTCTGTAGACCAGGCTGGCCTTAAACTCAGAGATCCACCTGCTTCTGCCTTCTGAGTACTGTTGTTAAATAAAGGTGTGCACTACTACTGCCCTATTTATTTTGGGTTCTTAAACTTCATCTTAAACCTTTTTTCCCCTTCATGCAAATAATGTGGTCTCACATAGGCCTTGAACTACCTTTTCCCAAATGTTGGGTCACAGGCATGTACGACCACACCCAGCTCAAGTTACATTTAGATAATTTTTGTCTCTACGTGAAAAGAGCTAAATTATAAGCTGTAACTATGCAACAAAGTATATCTACAGTTACACAGTATGGTATATTGTTCCAGTTGTTTCTCGGGTCAGGGTCTTGGTGTGTGGTTTGCCTCCAGGCACTGCTGATGGTACTGTATATTGAAGCAAGTTCTTACCTTCAATGAAATTACCCATGAGCCAAGTGCATCAACAATAAATACACATGAGGTAAGTGAGCTCAATGAAGGGTTAGAAAAAAGAATGGTGGTATATGGGGTGAGGAGGGTAATCCTAGCTCTGAGAAGACTGAGGAGGGGAGACACAAGCAATCAAGCAAAAACAGAGGGTATAAGTAAACAGGAGGAGGAAACAAGGCATACAAGTGATTATAAAGCTCAATTTAAGGAACTCTTTGTATGAAAGCACTTGGGTTTTTCAGGGCCCCAACACTAAATCCTTATCCAGTTTCTCCTTCAAGAATTGTTTTGTACATTTCAGTCAAAGGTGAAATCAAATCTCAGTGTTCCTAGGGTAAGAGATAAATAATAACCCCTCAGAAAGTAGTTAAAACTCAGAAAAGATGGTCACAAAAAACAAAGATTACTGTATACCTGCCCGTATCAAGAAAGGCTGAATGAAATGGAATGTGACACAGCATGAGCCAGGAGAATCGTGTGGCCGAGGGGTTAAATATGCAGCGGCTAACAACAAAGATTATGGCCAGACTTTGATACAAGTTCTCAACTCCTCCAGGCCTCAGTTTCTTTATTGGTAAAACGATAACAGTACTGGGCAGTATTCCATTTTCCTCATGGCTATTATATGAATGAAACAAGAGAACATAAACGGATGGCCACACTATATGATGAACATTCAAGAGTTTGGGAAACTATTTGCTGGGTAACTATTCTATGTTGGGCATCATTCTAATACTGGGAACATGGGCTGCAGAAATGACTCAGTGCCTCAGAGCACTGCTGTTCTTCCAGAGGACCTGGGTTTGGTCCCCAACACTCACAGGGTGTCTCTAACTCCATTTCTTGGGGAATCGGACAACCCCATCTGACTCCATGGGCAGCAGGCGTGAAAGTAGTACCCAGACACAAAGGCAAAACAGTCATACACATAAAAAGTTTAAAATCTTAAAAAAAAAATTAGAAATAACTGTATGAATTTGCAGAGTCATACCACAGCCTAGTTATTTATTCTAGATAAAATTTCCTGTTTATATAATCTCATTTCAGAATTAAAAAAAGAAAAGATTCAGAAAATTCAGTTGTTTACTGGCTAGTGAGCAGAAGGGTTTTTTAAACTTCAAGTGTTCTATCTCCGAAGTCTAGGGTCTTAACAGTTTCGCACCTTTACAATCTCTTCTCCTCACTTTTTGTTTTGTTTTGGGCTGGAGAAATGAACATGCCTGCCACAGTAATCATGTGGAAGTTAGAGGACAACCGTGGGCCATGTTCTTAGTACAAGCACTGTGATCACAGAGGCTTGCAAATGCTAGGCCAGTCAACCACTAAGCTATAATCCCAGGCCTTAATTAGTTGAGCAGACTTTGCTATAGACTTCTTCTCTCCTGCTCTATAAAATGGAAATATCATGTCAGGATTAGGTCATACAGCCTAAGACTTGGAATTGGTATGGAAGATATGTTGTGTGCTTTCTATACGTGGAGTCTATAAAGCAACCTGGCCTGTCTGTCTAGATTACATTTCTATATGAACAAAATAAAGATTTCAGTATTGCTCCTGTCAATGGACTTACGAATCTCAATAAAGAGAGCCTACACTTGGTTCCCCCTTCCCCATCCACATCTCCTCTGTCCTTCAGGTGAACACCATGTGAAGGCCAGGAAAGGATAGCCTACACCCACAGCCAAGAGAGTTCTGGTGCTACAGGTGCATCACAAATTTACCAGCCTGTCAAAAACAAGCAAACAAAAACCCCAAACAAATTACTTTCTCTAATATCTAACAGCTTCCCCATTATTCTGTTTCTAAAACTATAAAAGTAAAGAACAACCCCTAGTGGCTGTCATTGGTGGCTCATTCATATAATTTTTATACTAGGAAAGCCCAAACAGCAACAAAAGCTTTGAGTTTGAGGATAGCCTGGGCTACATAACAAGATGTTGTCAAACAACAAAACAAAACACCTAAATAAGGCTGAAAAGATGGCTTAATGGCTAAGAGCACTGTTCTTCCAGAAGACCCATGTTTGGTTCCCAGTCTCCACATAGTAGCTCATAACTATCAGTAAATTTCAATTCCAGGGGAGGTGATAGCTTTGGCCTTTGCAGGCACCAGACACACATGTTGTGCACATATGCTGCACAACACCCATAATCATAAACCTTTTTTCTTAAATCCATAAAAAACAAACAAAAACAAGAAAACAATCCCTATTGGTTAGCATTAAACTTTACACAATCTCTCCCTCTCAAGAGTGACTGAATGTGTAAATATATTAGTGTTCAGGTGATAACAAAAGGGACTTTGCAGGTAAAAAAATCAGTTGACCTTACAGTAAGTATACTATTCAGATGGCTCAATAGGCAAGAGTATGTGCATGCTGTCCATTTGCCTAGGACCCACTCAGTAGAAGGAGCAAACCAATTCCTCTGCTTTCTCATGTGCACTTGTACACACACAGAAATGAAATGTTTTTGTTTTTGTTTTTTTAGGAGACATAAATCTAGGTTAAGAAGTCCTGGTCAGGAGCTGGAGAGATGGCTCAGTGGTTAAGCGCACACACTGCTCACTTTTCCAGAGGACCTGGGTTTAATTTCCAGGACCACATGGCAGCTCCTTTGATCCCAGTTCCTTATCCTAGCACTCAAGACAACAGTGAGAGGCAGGGTGTCCGTCCATTCAAAGCTGGTCTAAGAACCAAGAAGGCGAGTGTAGTAGTAGTATATATATATATATATATATAAACCAACACTTGAGAAAGAGGCAGAGGACCAGACATTTAATGGCATCCAGTACTATTTGAGACCTTGTCAGTCTGCAAATGAGTTAGGCAGGGTCAACTCCACAACTTTAGATTCTCTCAGCAGGGAAAGCAGAAACTACTTACTTCAGTCTGTATGACTCTAATCAGGCAAAACAAATGCTGCTGTGTTTTAGCTATGACACCAAACTGCCGACAGCGCTCCAAGAATGTCTCCAAAGATGGATCTATTCTTCTTTGCAGTTTACTCCAAAAGAGAGTCAGTTCCCTGTGAAAGAAAACAGCTGTATTAGATATAAACTGGGGTTTGCTGCCCTGCTCTTGACCACTTTTTTTTTTTGAGTCAATGAAATTAAGCTGACAATATAGACAATAGAAACTAAATGAAAAGCTGTCTATATCCTCTACTACTTCCCCTTAAACAGGAAACACTGTGAAAAATCTGTCCTGAAAGTTCTGATTCCTTTTTTGTCTGTCCAAAGACAAAAAAATAACTATTTCCTTTACTATGACGTTAACTTTTCCCCCCTTTACTTAGATTCCATCTTGTTCAAAGGTTTAACTTTTACATTGGTCATTAGTTATACTGAGTGAATTAAACCCCGTTTTAATTAACTGGGCAAGTACTACAGAAATCTATGCAGCCTGTCAACATTCCAACTGACACTTGATTTCTGGCTCCAAAATCTGATTGTGCAGCTAGGCCTATGTTACCGAATGATTAAATAAAATGGCACTCTGGGAAATAGTTAAAACACAGAAATTCCTCAAACATTCATAACAGAGGCAATGAAATGCTTGAAGGAAATAAGTCATTAGTGTGAGACCGCATTTCATTATGTAGACCAGAGCTGGTCTTGAACTCAGAGGTCAGACTGCCTCTACCTCCCTAGTGCTGGAAAATGCAAGAGCAGCAGGGAATGCAGGTTCAGTTCTCAGCATGCATATGGAGGCTTAAAACTATACATAATTCTAACTCCAGGGAATCCTGCACTCTCTCCTGGCATCTGAGGGCACAAAGCATACATGTGGAAAACATACTTGCATGTAGGTGATACACTTATGCATATAAAATAAAAATATATCATTAAGTGAAAAGGAATGTCTGAAGGTGTATGTCTTTAATCCTAGAACTCAGGAGGCAGGGGCAAGTGGATCTCTGTGAGCTCGAAGCCTGCATGGTCTATCCAGTGAGTTCCAGGCTAGTTAGGACTATGTAGACAGATACTGCCTCAAAAATAATAATTATTTTTAAAAAGGAGTGAAGGCTGGGGAGATAGTTCAGCTGCAAAACACTTGCTTGGTATGGGCAAACCCCAAGCCCCCTAAGTTCCACCTCAAAGTCTCTATGTGTGTGAAATCTACTGAACAAAAGCCAGTTACATATTATGAAGACTAAAGGATACATAATGTAAGCTATGTACAATTTACTATCTCAAGCCAGGCAATGGCAGCATATGTGTAGCCTTGCCACTCCAGAGGCTGTCAGGAGTACTGTTACCAGTTCAAGAGCCTGGGCTACACAGTGACTATGAGGTATGCTGGGCCAGTCTCAAAAGCAAGACAAAACACAAAAACCTTAAACAAAACAAAATTTAGGGCGGGAGAGATGGCTTAATTAATTACTTTTGTAGAGGAACAGAATTCTGTTTCTATTATCTATGTCTAGAAGCTAAATATGGCTTGCAACTCTAGCTTCAGGTGACTTTATGCCCTCTACTGGTCTCTGCATGCATGCGCACACACCCCAAAACAAACCACAAAAAGGGGGCAGGAGAAAAGAATGGTTCAGTGCTTAGAGCACTTGCAGTTCCTGCAGAGGAGCTGGGTGTGATTCCCAGAACCCACATAGTGGCTGACAGCTGCCTGTAACTCCAGTTTTAGAGGATCTGACACCTTTCTTCAGGCTTCTAAGGACACTAAATTCACTAGTGCACACACATACTTGCAGGTAAAACACCCATACACATAAAGGTAAGTATCTCTGTGAGTTCGAGACCAGCCTGGTCTACAAGAGCTAGTTCCAGAACAGCCTCCAAATACACAGGGAAACCCTGCCTCAAAAAAAAAAAAAAAAAAAAAAAAACAAACAAACAAACGGGAGAGAGAGAGACAGAGAGAGAGAGAGAAAGGAGTGGGGATGCTAGTTTATGTACAGTAGGAAACACAATTTGGTTTTTATTTTACTGCTAAATTAAGCTAAAAAATATTTTCCTGCAAAATTCAGTTAATAATAAAACATGTTGGTCTTTCACCATGTGCTGGGATACAACAGTGTAATAAACAACATACATGACCTTGACATGTCATAGTCCAGTTGGGGCAGAACATCTTGTAAATATTCCAACAGAAGCAAATTGTGCAGCATACAAAGTTTAATTTCAGAAACGCTGCAGCAGGCAAAGGCTAGCCTATCAAATACTCACAGAAAATGTGGCAAATGTCAAGTTGAACTGTTTGCCTTCATCTCTAAAGCAGGACAGTAACCACATGCTGTTGTGCAGTGTTCAAAATGGCCCCTTTCACTTGCCGGGCACTAGCGCTGCTGGACACCCACAGTGTGCATGGCCCAGTTCTCATTCTTTGACACACCCAACCCCAAATTACACGCAGCTGAGGTTAATGGATAAACCAAGTGATGCAGCTTCTAATAATGAAGGCAGGGTAAATGTTACATTTTGTTTTTGTTCTTTATGATGAAAATGATGACATTCTTTAAATGTCTCTGAAGAAAATTTCCTCAGAACAAAAAAATATTCTGGGTGATAGAATTTTGTAGTTCACATTTCAAATACTATCTTTCTTAGTAACAAATTCAAGAATGACATTTTCTAGAAATAAATTTAGAGTATATGCTGAAAAAGCTATGTGACTTTGAGACAGGGGTTCTCTATGTAGCTCTGGCTGGCCTTGAACGAAGAGATCCGCCTCTGCTTTCTGAATGCTAGGATCAAAGGTGTGCATCACCACAGCCCAGCTGCTATGTGGCTTTTTATTTTGGTTATTTCAACTTTGTGTATTTTTAAATCTTACTATCCCTCTTATCAAAAATGTCACTTAGTTCTAGTATGACAGATGTGAATGAACCATGAAGCGAGCCTTAAAATACTTTTCCATCTTAAACACAAAAACTTCCAGCAGAACAAAATAATCTTTCTTGATCAGAAGTCCTGAGATTAATTTTTCTTAGTTAAATTTACTGATCTATGTGATTATTTCTTACTCCAATATCTAGCCCCACCCCACAAAAAGGAGGAAAGGGTTTTTTTTTTTGTGTGTGTGTGTGATTATATTCTACTTCTCTTTGAATTGCTTAAAAGAAGCTTTTTAATGAAGTGTTAAATAACTTTAATGAAGTGCTAAATAACTTTTTTTTTTTTCTTCTTTTTGCACAGGCAAGAAGGAAATCCTCCTTAATCTCTTCCTCCTTCCAGAGAACAGCATTAATCTCAGAGTCAGCTACAGAACACCTAGCACCCCAGTATCAGGAAGCTGGAGACAGCAGGGGCCCTGAGACTTTCGGGCCAGCCCCATCAGAAAGTGGGTTTACTGAGAGGAAAACAATGTCTGAAGCTGGGTGTGGGTGTAATGCACTTGGGAGGCAGAGGCAAGAAAAGTGCCTTATATCTGGGACTAGACTGAGCTATAGAATAAGACTCTATTCCAAATAACCAGAGAGGGAAAACAAACAAGGGGGAAACCCCCACAATAAATGTATGGGTTTATTTTGGAAATACTTAGAATCTTGGGTCACACAAACATGAGGATCTGAGTTGGAATTCTGCAAACTCATGTAAGACAAACCTAATATAGTAAGAGTCTGTAGTCCTGGTGCTTCTGTTCCAAGATCCCAGGAAGAGAGAAGAATTCCTGTCAGTTGCCAGGCCAGCAAGATTGGCATACCCAGCAGCAAACAACAAGGAGATCCCGTCTCAGACCAAGTGGAAGGTGAACACCTACTCTCAACATAACCAGTGGCTACACATACAGAAACATCTCTCCACCCCACCCCTCTGTCACAACCCCCCCACAGAATCTATAATATTCTACACATGATTTTAACTTTTGAAGTCAAAGTCTAGATATAGCAAACATAGTAGATATGGCAAAAGCCCAATTCCAGCACTTGGGAGACAGAGGCAGGAGGATCTGTTGACTCTGAAACCAACCTGGTGAGTTCCACAACAGCCAGGGCTATGAAGAGATTGCCCCCCCCTAAAAAAAAAAAAAAAAAAAAAGCAAAACAAGGGGGTTGGAGAGATAGTTCAGTGTTTAAGAGCACTGACTGCTCTTCCAGAAGACCCAGGTCCAATTCCCAGGACCCACAACATGAGAGCTCACAACTGTAATTCCAGTGTAACTCCAGTTCCAGGTTATCAGACATAGCATGCACATTAAAAAAAAGAAAAAGTAAACGAAGTCTGGATGCAACTAGCAGATGTTTTTATTATTGAGAATGAAATAAATTTCTTTTTCTGTGTGTTTTTTGAGGCAGGGTTTCTCTGTGTAGTTTTGTAGAGGAGGCTGGCCTACCTACCTGACTCCAAGTTCTGTGCTGGGATTAAAGGTGTGCACTACCACCCGCCGAGAAAATGAAATAAATTTAGTGGTACCAAAAAATACAGGTTTGCTCCTAAGTCTAATGTATCTATTTGCTGAAGCTGAAACTTCAAATCTCAAGCTTCCTGGCGGGAAAAAAACCAATTGATTTTACTTGATTTAATGGTAAAACATCTCAGTGCTATTTAACAATTTGTTTTTATTTATATAGTCTATTATTTTGTTCCCTGGCAAGAGGCCTACAACAATTATTAAGACCTGCTATTATCATGGTCCTAATGACAGAAGACTACAATTTGCATCTTAGACTGTGTTCAGTGGCTGGGGATACAGCTCAGCCAGTGGAGTGCTTGCCTCCCATGTGTGAGCCTTAGATTTAATACTTGGGAAATAGAGGCAGAACAACCAAGAGTTCAAGGTCAGCTTCTGCTCTATAAGACCTTGAAGAAAATCACTAGATCAGAAAGCAAAGACATTGGGCCAGGGGTTTATAACCTTAATCTTGAGACCAAGCAATCCCAACATTTCTTAATCACTAATTCTACTGTCTCGTATTATAATGATGGGGTAAGAGAATTTATAGCACACAAAAACTTCTATATAAATGGTGAACAAAAGAATAAAGTAGAAAGTGAAAACCCACACCTAAGATTGTCTTTTAACATCCACAGGCTTGACATGGCCAGTGGCTATGCCCACATTAGTCACAATGCCACCCCAACCCAAGAAAACTATACAAATAGATAAAGCAGCTCCAGAGGGAGATCAATCAAGGCCCAAGTACTTGAAAGTCTTTTCCTTGGTTTTAAGAAACAAAACAAGTTAAGCCACCCTTGGGCTCAAAAATACTCAGAACTTCCCTAATCAATGTTGTACCTATCCAATTCATTCACACTACTTCCTTCCTGGCATCTCTCTTAGCTGCTCTGGTTCAGCATTTCTCTCCTTCCTTTCCTTCCTTCCTTTCTTTCTATCCATCAATCACCTATCGTCTATCTAACCATCATCTATCCATCAATCATTTATCATCTATCTATCTAACCATCAATCATCTATCTATCTATCAATCATCTAAACATCCATCCATCCATCCATCCTCTATCTACCTAGTTTGTGCTATGTGCGTGGAGAATTGAAGCAAATATCGGGATAATTAAATCTCAAAATTTAAACATTTCTACTCCATTACTTATGCATTTCAGGCTAAAATTTACTTAGAATTTTCATTCTGCGTGACTGCACTGTCATAGTTTATAAACTAGCATTTCTCCACAGAATAGCTGTATGGTTATACCATATTCTTATCACTAATCAGAGAAGACACACGTAATTTAGCGGTTTCCTGCCTGTCAAGTTTATCCCTCTCATCTAAATGATCTAATACAATTAGAATTAAGGGTTTATGAGTATAATTGTTTCTAACTTTTAATAACTAAGCAATCACAGGCAAACAAGATATAAACAGATTAAATAAAAATAATGCAATGTCAGCAACTCTGGACCAAGGTTGCAAATCAGATTGACACTCAAAGGGATGTCCTTTTCTAATGTAAATTTTAGACTCCTAGGTATTCTGATCTTTTCGTTAACGGGTTTCCAAGTTAAGAGTTACCACCAGAAGATATGAATAAACGGTAAGGGAAAATAATCTCATACCTATCTGTTCCATATTGACATAATGTTGTCTTTAAGGAAGAAGACATCTATTGGAGTCACAAGACAACCATCTACGTGACAAGCAAGAGGAACAGCTTACCTTTCCTTGGCTACATTAAACCAATGGCATTTTTATTTAAATGACTTCATTAGATCAAGATTTTATTTACATGCTAAGAGTTAAATCTAACACAAACCCTAAATGCTATGCTATGTACTGACAAAGTATATACAAACTAAGTGTACTTACCAAGAACAATATACACTGGCCGTTTGGAGCTGCTGGGTAAGGTAAGTCGTACAAAGAACAAATGCTGTGTTATCCTGACCCTCAGATTCCAGATTACATATGATGTCTAGTACTTCCTTGCAGTCCACCTTTGCAATCTATCAAAAATGAGATTAACTGAGTTAAAAAGAAAATGGTGACTTTTTCTGTACAATTTGTTAAGTAAAAGGGAAACTTTTCTGTAATATTTTCTATCTTTGGTAGTTTCTTTGATAACCGGCAAGACAAGAGGCATTTTATTGACTAATGTCTGAGTAGTATAGCACAAATGCTTCCTTTGTCTATCAAATTGCTAAGATGAGAAAGGAACAGACATTTGTAACAAAGTTCCACTCTGTTCTTTATTAATATGGACATAAACATTCTTCAGTCTTGAAGTATTCATAACACTGCTACCATATAAGTAATCTAAATTATGCACAGCTGGTTATTTTCATCCTCTTCCATGAAAACTCCCCAGTGCTGGACAGTGGACCCAGGGCCTTTGGTATGTCCATCCCCTCCCTCATTTTTTCAGTAGGAATAAATATGCTTACTGAGTATATTGCAAGGAGAGCAACCAAGAGCACTGTCCACTTCTCCATTTGAAGTAGGGTCTCATTAAGTTGCCCCAAGCAGGCCTCAAACTCATAACCCTCCCAACTAAAGCTCCTTAGCTGCTGGGGAGGGCATCACTGCAGCCTGTCCCCTCTCTTCCTCAAGAACTCCTTATCCTAACTGTATTTAGGCTACACTGCAGGTAAGACACTCAAGGGACACTGTTCACTGTCCTTTCCTTTCTGTAAGTAAATCTCCCCCAATATTGCAAATCTTTACTTCCTAGAGTTCTGAACCCAGATAATCTTTTCCCTTTTTAATTTATTTACTTATTGTGTGTGCACTTGCGCATTTACTCAAGTGCAAGTCATCACTCAAGTAATTTGGGGACAACTCTTAAGAATAGGTTCCTTTCACCATCTTGTGGCATCTAGGATCAAACCCAGGTTGTCAGGCCTGCATATACGTGCCTCTACTGGGATGTGCTATCCTGCTGACCCTCTAAAAAAGCTAGTCTTATTCATTCCTGCCTTCAATTTCTTCCCTCCCTCCCTTCCACACCTCCACTTTCATGTTTGTGTTTTCATCTGGGGCCTTATTATGTAGCTTTGGCTGGCTTGGAACTATGTAGAGCAGATCAAGCTGGCCTTGAATTCATAGAGAACCACCTGTCTCTGCCTCATAAAGTACTGGGTTTAATTAAGGTGTGCATTACCACACCCAGCTTTGCGCCAAGAACTCCAGCTCAGACTCTTACCCTTAAATCTCACATGGCCAACAAGCTCTGATTCTAAGAGTGTGCCACTATGCTTGTTTATTTTTTAATGGGTTCCGGGTATCATGATCTTCATTCTTATATGGCAAGCATTTTACTGCTTCACTTGTTTCTACAACCCTATTATTTATTTTTGATACAGGGTCTGCTCTGTAGCCCAGGCTGGCCTGGAATTCGCTATGTAGGCTAACTTAAATTCACAGCAGTCCTAACCCTTCAACTTCCCAAATGCTGGGATAACTTCAAGAGCCTCCTGGGTAGTTTCATAACAATTAGTGAACCCTCCAGTCCAACGAGGTATCAACTCAAAATATCAACACTTAACCCATAAAAGAGAGCCTAGAAGTGAAGTCCACTCATATCAAGCCCCAGGAAAATGCCTCTTTAGAACTATTTAGGACTGGGAGTGCAGTCCTGTGGTAGCTCAATCCCCTAGCAGGCATAAGGCCCTGGATTAAAAACTATTTAGAAGAACGTACCTTTACAAATAAAATATTTAAATAGTTAAGTCTTCAATTCTTTAGTCTTTCTTTCTCTCTTGGTATATTTTTTGAGTATACATACTTCTCATTTCTCCAAGTGATCATATGGAAAAATGTAAGTATTAAGATTATAATTTTAAAGCCAGGAGTGGTGGTAGTTCATGCCTTTAATTTGATCAGGTGGCTCTCTGTGATTTTAAGGCCAGTCTGATCTACACAGCCTTTAAAGCCAGCCAGGGTGACACAGTTAAGACCCTGTCTCAAAAAAAAAAAACTTAAATTTTATAGACACACATGCATATTTTTAAACATTTTTGTAACAACTCCTTGTCCTGTTTTACTTTACTAATTAATATTTAGTCTAAAGGTACACCCAGAATTTCTATGCTCCTGTTTACTTTTCTTCTCCCAAACTGAATTCCCACTGGATCCTGTTTAAAGGATTTGCTGTTTATCATTTATACTTAGTGACTGTATCAATTCCCAACAGAGTTAGTTAAGACTGGTTAGTAAATTAGATCCTGTTTATATTTTCTTGTCTCCATCAAGAGAAGAAATAAGTATTTGCTACTGAGCCAACCAACCATGACAGTCAAGAAATATGCAGTTCCTCTCACACTGACACCAACACTGAACTGGACTACTATTTTGCCCAGGACCTCTGTTGATAGGGTTTCTTGTTTCTTTAAAACAAGCATTTCATGTTTAAAATATTGTCCTTGCAAAGATTTACCTTTTAATGGAAAAAAAAAATGGAAACATAGACTTAACCTTTGTTACTTTCATTAAAAATCCATTCATATGCCATGCATTGATGGAGCATGCCTTTAATCAGCACTCGGAAGGCGGAGGCAGGAAGATCTCTGTGAGTTGAAGGCCAGCCTGGTCTACAGAGCTAGTTCCAGGACAGGCTCCAAAGTAATACAGAGAAACCCTGTTTGGGGGATTCCATTCATATATACACAAATGATGGAATGAGAAAATGGGCTCTCCCCTAAGTTGTCCTCTGACCTTCACATTGCATACCATGGGACAACATGCCAGGCATATGAGGGCTTACATGTGTGTACATGTGCTTGTACACACATACACACACACACAAACAAACACATGTAATCTAATACATTTTAATCAGGGGCTGGAGAAATAAACCAGCAGCTAAGAGCACGAGCTGCTCTTTCAGAAGACCCAAGTTCAACTTACAGCACCCACGTGGTGGCTCACATTCACTGGCATGCATGTGGTACACACACATGCATGCTGGTACAGCACTCTCATAAAAAATCTAAAACACAACTCTATACAAAATGGTATCAACCTTGAATTCCAGATTCCAGGTTTGTTAATCTCCCAGCTCCTAATCTGTCTAACTATGCACTAGCAATAAATTCTGGCTTTCATATGACCCAGTCAATTAATCTTAATTGTATGTGTTTGGCAAAATGGTCCCCAGCAGAGGTTTCTCATTACACACACCCATTACTAGGATACCCACAGGTGCCAACATACAAAGAACTTATTCCCAGTTGTTTGTTCCGGTTAATTTAACTCTTCTCCTGAAAGCTGAAATAGAGTAAAAACTATGCTATATTAGAACATATGCTGGTTAAAAACACCAATTAATGAACACGTAGTAAGTCATCAGTAGTTTCCAAACTACTGGCTCTTTATAATTTTATTGTTGACTGCAAAAAAACAAAAAACAGCATCACTAAATAGATAGAAATCAGTGTTTCTTCTAAAATAATTGTAAGCTAAACATCTTTGTCCTAATAAATTTAACAAATTAATCCACATTATAATAAGTATTTAAAACTAATTACCTGCACACTGTTCTAGTATGTAGGAAACCTTTGGGTTCAATTCTCAACACTGAGGAGGGGCAGAGACACACCACCTATCACTTTCTTCCTAATGGACATGAATCACACAGTGCAAAGATAGCCAAGGAGCCAGCTGAACTGCCTTTTAGCTGACTTCAGACTCTATCATTAGCATAATACATGTAGGGCTTTGGGGACATTACCATATTGGCTTCAATTTCATCACTGGTAGCGTATAGAGGACTAATTGTAGCCATGGAGACTGTACTGTCATCTGAGGGTGGCAACAGATTGAAAAATATTATTTTAAGAGTTGGTAAACATTTTTGGCAGAGGAGACAGAAAATACTTTCAGCCTTTACCAAATAGTTTCTACTGTAAATGTTCCAGCATTGTAGCATAAAAGCAGCCAGACACAAGAAAAAACTAAGAGTGTGTGTCAAAAAGACTAAAACCCAGATGAGGTGGAAGTACTGGTACATGCCCATAGTGACCCACTACTTGGGAGGCCGAGAAGCAGAAGAGTTTGAAGCCAGCCTAGATTACAGAGTGGTCAACGCTATCTGAGGTAAACAAACACAAAACAGGTACAGTCACATGCCATATAATGTTTTAATCAGATTGCATATATGATAGCAACTGCTAAATAGCCTATGTGCGTAGTATGTTACTGTCATCCAGATTATGTAGCTACACTACAATGATGATACAAAGAAAGATCAAACTACCTAATGGCATATTTTTTTCAGACATATCCCTTCATTAAGCAGTCTGCCAATCTTATGTTGTAGAGCAGTAGCAAACCCATTTCCCACAGTAGTACCCTGTAAACCCAGCAACTAGCAAAAGGAACCATTAAGTAACTCCAGGAAAAACCCTGTTCACTTACTTGGTTGTTTAACTTAGCACAGCAATGCTGGGCAAAGACTCGTACCAGAGTTATAACCTAGCTCCATAACTTGCTATTAATAAACCAGGAAAGATCACAGATAAAACAAAGTTAACAGCTAAGTGTATAATCTTGAACATGTGCACAGTCCAAGGTTCAGCTGCAACACCATTAAAACCACCACCACAGACCTGTCTTCCCATACCTTCTTGGCCCCTCCATGTCTCTGGCATCTTAGTGGGCAGCAACACAGGGCCATCATCCTTAAGTCTCAAAGCTTTATGTACCTCTTTTGGGTACACGCAGGCATAGGGAAGGCCAGAGAACACTCCCTCAATATCATTCCTCAAGCACTACTTTTTTTCTGAGACTCTTTCTATTCTGGCCTGGAACTTGCGTGGCTAGCCAGCAAACCCCAGGAATCCACCTGTCTCCACTCCCCCAGTGCAAGGATTATAAATGTGCACTAATATCCATGTGGTGGTTTGAATGAGAGAAAAAAAAGAAAAAAAAAAAAAAAAAAAAAAAAAAAAAAAGGCTCCCACAGGCCCCTTAGAAGGTGGGAAAGTGGCACTATTAAGAGGTATGGCCTTCATGGAAAAGGTTTCAGATGTCTCACTTTCTTCTTGTTGCCTGTGGGTCCAGATATAGAACTCTTGGCTCCTTCTCCAGCACCATGCTTGCCTTCCTGCCACCAAGTTTCCTGCCATGATGATAATGTACTAAACTTTTGAAACTATAAACCAGCCCAATTAAACATTATTTCTTATTAAGAGTTGCTGTGGTCGTGGTGTCTCTTCACAGCAATAGAAACCCTAAGACAATTCAGCATTTAAAAACAAAACAAAAACCTGTGTTCTGGGGACTGAACTCATATTCTCAGCCATCTCCCCAGTCCTACTCCTAACCTAAGGAGGGTGTCTCGTTATGAAGGCCACACTGATCTCAAACTCCAGAGTGCTAGGATTATAGTGTGCACTACCACATACTATTATTTTGAGTATCTTGAAATCAGATCTGTATATAATCCCTTATTTCTACCCTGTCAGTGAGTGCTGATGTTTTTCACAACCTCTTGCCCTAACTCCAATACACTACTCTTTCAAGTTTTCCTAAAATATCATGGTAGCCACCATATCACTTGTTTATAAACCACTCATTCACAGCTGAGAACTCTCCTTTTCCCAACCAATAGATCTTACTTCTCACAAGACCTTAACACACATGCTTTGGCTCACACAAAGTGTTCTCTAGTGAGTTACTGAAAGTACAATAATTACTATGTCTTGCTACCAGACAGTTGTCCTTAACATAGCTCCCCATTCATCTATCCTTACTTCAAGGTCCAACCCAGGCTTCCTAATAAGGGTTTTAAAATAGCATTCACAAGCACAGTTTTCAAATCTACTTTTGTACTAAACACAGCAGTAGCCTAATATTATTTAGCATTTTTCTTTATAACTGTTTCTGGCAAACATGCTATATAAACTTCAATATTTTCCAATGCCCAATACAATGCTAGAAACAAAGTAGGTTTAAATCATGATCAAGGGGCCAGGTGATGGTGGCACACACCTTTAATCCCAGTACTTGGTAGGCAGAGGCAGGTGGATTTCTATGAGTTTAAGGACAGCTTAAGCTCCAAAACTACAGAAAAACCCTGTCTCAAAATAATTATGGTCAAGGTTAAAATAAAGTTGTTACAGGATGGGGAAGAATCAAATCTAAGGTTAAACTTTTTGCTGCTGCTTCTGAATTCTTCTGGCAAGTCTCAAATACCAAGATTAATGGCTGTTTCTTAATTTATGTTTCCTGAATACAAAATATTGCAGATGATATCAGGTCAGTGCCTGAACTTAATACTGTAAACAAACAAATATATGTAGACAATTATCTATATGTACACGACAATGCTCCTCTTTCCTCTATCTCAAGACAGTTTCTTGCTATATAGTCCAAGCTGGCCTTGAACTTGAAATCTTCTTGCCAATTACAGGAAGGCACAGTATCTTGTCTTCTCAATAGTATCGCATGTTAGATTCAAAGAAGTCTCACTATAGACTCTGTATTTATAGTGTCTATGGTGTGTGCATGTGCGTGCATGCATGCATAGGCCGGAGAATAACTTTGGATGTCATTCTCATGAGCTCGACCCATCTCTTTTGAGTCTGGGTCTCTTGTGGTTGGTAACTCAACAATTAGGCTAGACTGCCTGGCCATGCTCAAATGTACTCATACATACATCTCCCCGCCCCCCTACACACACAAATAAACTTTCCAAAAACATTTTAAAGATGGTGGGGGGGCGCACACATACAACATAGCACTTAGGATGAACAATGCTCAGTAAATTCCTATAATTATTTTTAAAGTTGAGTGTATAACAAGGCAGATGGTGTGAAGTAGTTAGGCCTTTGATTTCTTCAAGACCACAATGCCTAATAAATTAAAACATGTAAACAGTCAACGAGTCACTTTCCATTTGGAAAATTACATTCAGGTGTCCACAGAACCAAATAGCTGTTTCATCTTTGCATGATATATGGGACACTGGCTAGGAACATATCTCAAAACAAAGATGACCAACACTGTCACTATTCACATACTAGACATCAGACAATCTTCCCAAATACAAGTGACTATGGAATTTTAGTATTACAGGTTACACTGCTCCCACTGGGATATTGCTAAAAAACATTCCAGAATAAAGAGCATGTAAATGCTTTTTTAAAAAAGAAAAAGACAATTAACAAAAACCCCAGGAAGTTGGCAGGAAGGTTAATGGGAGTCAGGATGGAAGGAAAGGCTACAGGAGTCAATCTGGTAGGAAGTACCTTAAATTTCAACAATGTAGCTGACAAGCCTCTCACAACAGACCAGAGCCACAGGATGGGTTAGTCATTTCAAATAACTACTGATCCAAACAAAGAAAAACTGGTTTTGGGGGGAGCTTTTTGTTTGTTTGTTTGGTTGGTTGGCTGGTTTTTGGAGACAGGGTTTTCCTGTGGTTTTGGAGGCTGTCCTGGAACTAACTCTTGTAGACCAGGCTGGTCTCAAACTCACAGAGATCTGCTTGCCTCTGCCTCCAAGTGCTGGGGTTAAAGGTGTGCACCACCACCGCCCCGCTGAGAAACTGGTTTTACAGCACTGCATTATAGCAGATATTTACTCAAAACAGAGTAGAAGAGGAAATACATGGGCATCATTTTATTGAAAATTTCTTTGTAACGCGCGCGTGTATGTGTGTGTACATTCATGCAGCCTGGAACATATGTGGAGGTCAGAAGACAACTTTTAGAAGAAGTTGGTTCTCTCCTTCTACCACATGAGATCCAAAGATGAAATGTCAATGGAGAGGCAAGTGCCTCCGCCCACCAGCTAGCCATCTAAGCAGTCTCTAGGGCATTACTTTACAAGGGACCATGGGGAAGGCCTCTTTGATATGGTAATATGAGACAAGAGGTAAGCCAAGCAGGGTGACTTGCAAATACAAAGCTTTACAGCAAGAGGAAACTTGGCTTGCTCTTAAACTGCAGAGACAAAGGTAGCTAAAGAGCAGTGAGCATTAAGTTGTGAAAGATAGAAAAAACAGACATTGGCCATCAAATAGAATGACAGCTTCTGGATTTATTATTGTGGAAAATGGAAAATTATTAGATGGTTCTAAACAGAAAAATATATAAATGATGTTTACAAGTGTTTGAGTGATGATGGTCTACTCTGAAATCCTCAGATGTGAAAGTAGCTTTTCTTCTTACAGTACTAATTTTTGCTGGATTTGGGAAAGTAATAAACAGCAGGTGAAGAGATAATCCAAGGAGAGTGGGACTTAATCTTAGTTAACACTTAACTTTGTACATTCTTTATCACTTTAGAAAACCCCCTATACCCATAACTAACTTCACATTTAATCTGAGCAACAGTTACACATACAGCTAAAGCACAATTTTTTCATAGCCTAAAAGGTGAATCCTGGCTTTCATTCTGACGAGGGGAAACAAATGATGAAATGTCTGTACTAACACATCACAACTGTAGCAAGACTGAATAGTTACCTAATGTACTCACCTCCTGAATAGCCTCTTCACTGGGAAGCATGGAACATAAACATGTGACATAGGCTTGCTGAAAACATGACACCTGTGAAAGTTCTTTAGACTCTGCACACAGTTTTGATAAAGCAGTGGCTTGGGGGATGCAGTTAGATTTCAACAAATGTTTGATTCGCATTTGAAGAAAGGAAGGTCCTTCTTGTGCAATCAATTTGTTAACTAGAAAAGAGGAAAAAAAATGCAATAGTGTGATAATATACCACATGCCTGAGTGGTGATGACACTATCATCTTTCTTTTGCTGCTTTTGCCCTTTTTTTTTTTTTCCTTCTGAGACAGTTTGATGGAGCTCAGGCTACCCTCAAGCTCACTATACAGCTGAGGATGACCTTTGATTCCTGATTCTCCTGCCTACATCCACCTCTAGTTGCCTTGTGACTAAACTCTGAGTTGCTGTAAATGAGTGTTCATTCTAGTCACTATACTCCTCTAACAGAGGCAAGAGAAAATAAAGCTAACAATTCCCATAAAAATTAGTTTTATTCTGAACAAATTTTTTTTAACGAAACTGTCAATATTTTAAAATTATTTAATCAACTCCCCCGCTCACTTTCTGATAAGTTCAGTAAAGAATAGTGAAATAAACCTTAAGTGTAAGTAAGTTCAAGAAAATGTAACAGGTGTCTTACACAATATTAACCATTACCAAATGGATGAGTGTAAGGTGCCACATTTTAAGCTAAATGTTCTCATATACCTCTTGTTTATTCTTCACACCACCACCAAGGCAAGTAATATCCACAGATTAAGGTTAGAAAAATTAACATTCAGAGAAGTTAGGTAACTTGCCAAGGATTCCAAAGCCAGTGGTGCTGTTTCCTCTAAACCAGGCATTTCTCAAAGTGTGTTCCACCGACCAAAAGACCTGAGAGATAGTCCTAGAAAAAAAAAGGATTCCTTGGTCAAATCTCTGAACAGTCCTGCAATGAATAAAACTGTTCATGTATATTTAGTTCAGTGTTTCCCAAGCTGATTTGACCAGAGAACCCTTTTATGAATATTAGTCCCTTGTAAAATATATGTTCCTGGTTTAATACACACTTTGGAAAAATGCTCAGAGCACTAACTTAAAGTGCTCAGCCAAGGCTTCAACTTTGCAAAGCTGTTCAACAAGTCTGTGACATTCCCCTGCATTACCTAAATGACTGCTTTAGGTGATTAATCCAAGACAGTTTTACAGACTTGAAAATGTCTTCTAAGACACCCAGGAAGCTTATTTAAATGTACAGTTTGATTTTATAGGTCTGGAGATAGGACTCTTTAGAAAAATTTTTGATGCAGGGCCTCACTGTATATCCCTGGCTAGCCTGGAACACTGTTATGTAAACCAAACCAGAGACCCACTTGCCTTTGTTGAGATTAAAAGTGAATGCCACCATTTCTTTAGTTTTTTTTTTTTTTTCAAACAACCCCCATCCCACTGTAGTCCCCCCGGTTTTTAAATTACTTTTTAAAAATAAGGTAACTCACTATCTATATATGTATGCATAATATGTATATACACACCACTAAAATTATTGTCAAGGCTGGGCACAGTGGTAGTGCCTGTTATCCTAGCATGGGAGCCGGATGAAGAGTAACACTTCCAAGGACAGCCTGCATGTACTACAGGACAGTCTTTTTTTTTTTTTTTTTTTTTTCTTTTTTTGAGACAGGGCTTTTCTATGCAGTTCTGGCTGGCTCAAGAGCTTGCTATGTAGACCAGGCTGGCCTTGTACTCATAGAGATGCACCTGCCTCTGTCTCATGGGTGCTGGGATTAAAGGCATACACCTTGGCTGGTACAAGATTGTTCCATATTTTTGCATATTTATGTATTTAAATGTATACCATGTGAGTATCTGGAGGTTACAGAGAGCTATATGTGCTGGTAAGCAAATCTAACTCCTCTGAGAGCAATAAGTGCTCCTAATCACTGAGTCATCTCTTTAGACAGCAAGATTCATTTTTAACAAAACAAAACTCTTATTTTGACATTGGTGCTCTAGTTTTCCTCTCAGAAAAATAATTCTTTTCAACTTTTTTTATACCCTTCCAGAAATGATCCCTTTCTTGACCAACTAAGTACATGATCTAGCTCATTCTACCACCAATCCCTTTGACTTGCCTCACTATTGTTACCAACCAAATGACATCTCACTATGGTGGATGTACTATCACTCACCTCAAAGATTCCCTACTGACCCATTTACAAGTAGCTCTAATCTTTAGCAGTCATTAGTAATGATGCAACTCACAAGGTTGTGCATGGGTCATTTCGCCAAAGAGGGTAGTAAAAAACAAAAACAACAAAACAAACAAACAAAACCCCAAAGTCCAAAGAAGTAGAATTACTAGGTTAATTTGTTCAATAGTTCTTGCCCATACTGCCAAACGATTCTCCAGAAGTTTATATCCACATTAAACTACTTCAGAGTTCTGACTCTGAATACTTTAGATTTAGCAGGCAGAACTTGGATTTTAGTCTGTTTTAAATTCTACAAAATGAAGCCAAAGTCAAAATTCATGGAGGAAAAACATCACATTGCCCATAGCCTTTTCCATTTTAGAGTCATAGTCATTAAAATCCACAGCTCTCCCTATCAATAGTTCTTTACTGTTTTCAGTAATGTTATGTCAATTATTCAAAAAACAAAACAAAACTATGAAACATTCTCCCTTTCCTCTGGGAGCCACTGAGTTACTTTGACCTTGTGGTTCTTTAAAACTCTTCTCGTGATTGCCCTCTCACCGTACTCTGCCTAACAGGAGACCCTGCTCTACCTGTCTTCCAAGGCTATGAGCAGCTTATGAATCCCACAGAAGGCAACACACCTGATAACAGGAATGCTTCCTTTAAGCCCATAGCACTGCTAAGTCTGCACAGTACTTTTCACCTCTTACCACCCTAAGATTTCCCTGTAAATGTAGAATAAGGGGTTTTGTTTTGTTTTGTTTTTCAACACAGGGTTTCTCTGTAGACCAGGCTGGCCTCGAACTCATAGAGTCCACCTGCCTCTGCCTCCCAAGTGCTGGGACTAAAGGTATGTGCCACTACCACCTGGCCTCCCTCTTGTTAATTTTAACACAGCTCGGCCTTGCCCTTAAAAATCACTTAAGGGGGCTGGAGAGACGGCTCCCCAGTTAAGTGCACTAGATGTTCTTCCAGAGGTCCAGCACCACATGGAAACTCACAACTGTCTGTAACTCCAGTTCCAGGAGATCCGATGCCCTCATACAGACATACACGCAGGCAAAACAATACACAGAAAAAAAATTAAAAAAAAAAACAAAAAAACTTTTCAAGGACTAGAGAGATGCTCACTGGACAAAAGCCACTTGCTCTGAAGGTCTGAGGATTTGAGCTTGATACAGAATTCACATAAAAGGTGGGCATATGCAAGTAACCCCACCACTGAGATTTGGAAACAGGTGGAGCTCTGGAGCTCTGCTGGCCTGCCAGCCAGCACTGCTGTTCTTCCAGCTCAATTCAAGATCCCGCCTGTCTTAAGGCAAAGGTCAATCCACCTGCCTCAGCTTTTTAATACTGGGATTAGTGTGCTCCACCATGGCTAGCTTCTTTTCCTTTCTTAAATATTTGTCAATACATGTATTTGTTGAAAGGAAATCTAGGGGTTGGAAAGGCATCTCAACAGCATTTATCTTGCGTGTCCAAGATACTGGTTCATGCCTAGTGATGACAACATGAGGATTGTGTATCCATGTGTTTCAGTATTTAATAAAGTTGTCTCTTAACTCTACACATACTGTGACGCACTTGCCAATTATGGGCAAGGCCCTAGGTTTGCTCCCTAGCCACAGGTGCTGGAAAGCCAAAGTAAAGTTACTGACACAATGATACTTCACCTATCTAAACTTATCATCTGAAAATAATCACATTTAAGGTTTAATTTAAAAGGAATTCTTAAGGCTGGGGAGGTGGCTCAGTGGTTAAGAGCACATACTGTTCTTCCAGAGGACCAAGGGCTAATTCCCAGAACTCACTTCAGATAGTTCACAACTATAACTCTAGCTCCAGGTGAACCCAATGATTCTGGTCTTCTTGCACACTGTACTTACACACAACACATCCACACACACACACACACACACACACACACACACACACACACACACACATAATTTTTAAAAAACCTCAATCTTAAAAAAAGAAAAAACAAAACGAACTCTTAGTTAGACAATGTGCTACAGGCTTGTAACCTGAATACTTGGGACATTGACAGGAGACAACCAGCACTTACAGACTTCAGAATAAACTATTCTACTCTCATTTTTCCGATTTACCAGCATGTGAGTGCTGTGTGTAGATGTCTATGTGAAAGTCAGAGGACAATTTCATGAAGTTGGTTCTCTCCTTTCACCTTTATATGGGTTTTAGGATTTGAAATATGGGCATTACACTTGGTCAGCAAGTAAAAATGCTTATAGACCTTTTGAATTCAAAACAAAATTTAATTCCAGAATTCTATGAGTACAAGGCCAGACTGGTTTACACTAGGAGTTCTAGGCTAGCCAGGACTACATAGTGAGACCCTGTAAGTTTTGTTAAGATTATAATGAAAAGGGTTGGAGAGATGACTCAGTGTTTAAAAGCACTTGTTGCTCTTACAGAGGACTTGCGTTAGATTCCCAGCACCCACAATCATTCCTAACTCTAGTTCCAGAGGTATACAAAGTTCTTAATTGATTTCGCTAGGCACCAGGCACACATGTGGTCCATTTATATGTACAATATGCAGGCAAAACATTCATACGCATTAAAAAAAAAAATCCAGGTGGGCAGTGGTGGCACACACCTTTACTCTCAGCACTTGGGAGGCAGAGGCAGGCAGATCTCTGTAACTTTGAGGCAAAATGCTCCACACATAAAATAAAAATAAATATTAAAAAAATTTCTTGCCATTTAGTGGCAATGTAGCATAGGAATACTGTGAATCTGTGATGCAATGCATTACTCTGTGATGATGCTGATATAAGCAGACCTACCACATTGACAATTTCATAAAAAGCACACTAAATAAAATTAAAATTAGGAAATACATGGCACTTGGAAATGATTATTAAATCATGTTTTTAGTTTATGTATTTTATGCTATAATTACTATAGTTAAAATGTACTCCTACTTACTAGAAAAGTTTAGTGTAAAACAAAATTCTGTACTGTGCCCGTCAGTACCAACCTCAAGCACTTCATATTCACTATTGGTCTTGACTGCAACAGGCCACTGTGAATGGCGACTGTGTGAGTACACTTACACATAAAATTTCTACACCCCATAGTCAAGCAGTATATGATCCCTAGCAGTTCTTACTGATAATAAACATGTTTTGTTACTCTCCATTGCCTACATTTACAATGGGAGATTATTTTCTCCAAACAAGTAATCAAAGGACTCGGCCAACAGAAAAGCTAAATACCCCAGGGCTGGCAAGATGGCCTGGCCAACTGAGGTAAGATTCCCCAGAATGGAAGTGGGAAGAGGAAGTTAGCCCATAGAGCTGTTTTCTGAACTTCACACACATGCTACAGCATGCATACCCACCCAAATATAAATCAAAAATTATTTTAGAAAGGGGAGAAAACCCTTATGCAAGTTTCTTGCCATATAAAAAGGCCTAAACAATAAGAATACAGTAGTCACACTTAATGCAGTGTTAGCTAACTGGGATATTATTCTGAAATCTGCTGTTACTCTAAAAAGTAATAATCCCCTTTATCTCTGGGACTGTGTATGAGCATCATTACTCAACGTGACAGCCTGAAATAAGAAAACTAGTGCAAAGACATACAGTCTAAGAATTCTTAGGGGAAAAGTAAAGTACCCAACATAATCATTATTTTGTTTGAAGCAGGTTCTCTGACAGTGCTAACAGAGGCTTATCTTGGACTAATCCTCCCGCCTCCATCTCCAGAGTGCTGGGATCGAAGTATACATCACTACAAACATACTTATTAACCATTTTTTATTACTCAAAAAAAAGCCAAAAACAAACAAACAAACAAAAAAAAAAACCAAACAAACAAAAACCCCTAAACCAACCAACTAACCAACCAAACAAAAACAAAAAGTTTAAATACATAAACTAATTTCAATTCTCTTAGAACTAGATATGGTCAATGAAGTTTTTAAGACTTACCTTCCTCTGTTTCTACCAGCTGTTGAGAGAGAATTTTAAGAAGAACAGGGTTTTTCCACACTCCTTCTTTTGTAACATGAACTAATATTTGTAGATTATTATTCCCAAATTCCAATAATGCATCATGTGACTCCTAAAACAAAAGCAACATATTTAAAAGAGAATCTAGTAACAAAACTTTGCCTTCTCAATCTAGTTAAGTATCAAGAAAATGAAAAGGACTTGAGTGGGGGCGGTTATTGAAGTTTGTGCTTTCCTACTGGGATATTTTTAACCAAGTTAAAAATATATTTAAAATGTTCTCATGAATTTCCCATGTAAAATTATTATTATCACAATCAATTTATTATGCCTGAATTGATTACCTGAAATGTCATACTAATTAAGATGACCAGGAATTATTTGCTGTAGCAGACCTATTTTTAAGACCATTGATACAGCTTTCATTTAAAGGCCTGTTTAGTATTCATACAAGTAGCATACACTTGCAAACAAAAATAGTTACTGCAATGGCAATAACTGATGTACGACATGAGGGGTTGCTCATGCATGCTATGTAAGTATTCTCCTGGTGAACTTCAGTGCCACCCTTGATTCCCAACTATTTAAATTCTTGTTTCTTTATGTCATAAGGTCTTGTTTATTAGTGGTTTTCAAAAAAAATTAACTGCTACTAGGAATGGTAGCACATACCTTTAAGTTCAGATTAAAGAGGCAGAAGCAGGCACCTCGAGTTCTAGGCCTGGAGTTCTACATAGTGAAATCTAGTCTTGGAAGGAAGGGAGGGAGGAGGGAGGGACAGAAGGAGGGAGGGATGGAGGGAGGTCCAAGCTGGCTAAGGGGAAAGTGGTGCATGTCTAGCGATCATTAAGAAGTGATGTGGCAGGAACATCAAGAGTTTAAGGCTAGCCTGGGCCACATAAAACTTTATCTCAGAAAAAAAAGGGGGGGCTTCCAATAATGGTTTACTAATATCAATATTTAATTTGTAATTATTTAATATCATTTTAGCATAATTTAACACATCAATTTTCCTTTAACAGCTTGACAGATCTTCAGATTTCTTTGTTCTAAACACAGTACAGATATTTACTTTGCAGTGAAGACAAGTAAAAATTTCAGAATTTCTTGTCAGGTCACTGGACCTACTATGTCTACCATAACACACTGTAATAAACAGTAGCTGGCTCTGAGGCCTTCACTGACACAAATTCTTATCCTGGGTGAGGATGGAGCATGAAACAGCACAAACCAAAAAGTCAGGGATGGTGGCATGCCTAGAAATCAGAGCAGTTAGGAGGTGAGAAAAGAAGATCAAAAGTTCAAAGCTGGGGCTGGAGAGATGGCTCAGCGGCTAAGAGCACTGGCTGCTCTTCCACAGGACTGGGTTCAATTCCTAGCACACACACAGTAGCCCACAACTGTAACTCCAGTTCTAGGAGATCCTCACACAGGTATACGTCCACTCAAAACACCAATGCAAAAAAAAGAAATTATTTTTTTAAAAAAGTTTAAAGGGTTTATCCAGAATGCCAAGTACTACCTTGCCTACTTGTCACATAAAATACAAAAGAACAAAAAAAAAAACCTCATTTTTTTTTTATCTTTCAGATATCAACATGGACTAAGCCATTTATTTATCTGCATTGTTATTTCATTATTTTTTTATACTGAACACAGATTCAAAAATATATCCCGTGCGACTGACAACTACTAAAATTTTATACTGGGGAAGGGGCACTTATTTTACTCAGGCAAACAATCTAAGAACATAAAGAAGCTTATGAAAAGTGTTCTATAAAGGGAAGATATAATAAAATACTAACAGCATTAAAAGAATCAAAATTATTTACCCTTCCTTCTACAATGCAATACGTCAGGACCAAACTACTGGGGCCTCAAAGCCTCAAGACAAAAATGCATGGGTTCAGCTGGGCACAGTTACACGCCTGTAATTCCAGCAGGACTCAGGAGGCTAGCGTAGGATTGTCACAAGGTTGAATTCTCTTCTCCCCAAGGAGAAATATAATCATTTCATTTTGTAGTATGTACCCCAGAGGAAATAAATTCTTATATTCTGAAGTATGTTTTTAATAGGTGAATCTTTACCTATGCCCATATGAAGCAGGTCCAAGCTACTTTGAAATGTGTGTCCTAAATCAATCCGTTAAAGTTCTAAATCTGAAGATTCCTCTGGGCAAGCTAAGTTTCCTATGTATGCCTCTTTGTTTGTAAATGGGGACTCAATAAACTTCACATTATAAAGTTTACTTAATTAAGGGATATAAAATATTTAAGTAAAATACAAAGCAGGGACCCTCAATTAGTGACATGTAATTAAATGACTGCTATTATTTAGTGTGTGTGTGTGTGTGTGTGTGTGTGTGTGTGTGTGTGTGTGTGCCCACTTTCAACATCTTGGTGTTGTTCTTCAGGCATTTTACCAACTTCCTTTGTTCAAGATGCCTTGCACTTTGCCAAATAGGCTAGGTAGACACTAGCTCTAGGGATTGTCCTTCCTGTTTCCCATCTTGACATCCGGAATGACAGGCCTGTGGCACCACACCTGGCTTTTTACACAGGTTCTGGGGATCCAAACTCAGGTCCTCATGCTTGTAAGGCAGGAGCATTACGCTAAAGCATCTCCCTAGTTCCTAAATGGATTTTTAAATACCTTCTGAATTCTACCCTAACAACCATTTGATACTTGTTGCTGGGCAGAACACTCGCCATTTTCTAATCAGTTCACCGTCCTACAAGCATAATACATGAACAGAATCCATGACTATTAGACTGACTGATTTAGAGATATATTGATTGGCAAGACATAAGTGTGTTATGAACAATATGAACATTTTATTTAGTAATCTTAACTGCATGAATATGTAATTAGCTTGTTTTTGTTCTATGTTTCAAAGTTTATTTTGCTGAGAATAAGCAAATCAATGTCTTGGGCAACTCACCTGAAGAGACTGAAGGAATGGTACCCAGACTTCACAAGGCAGTTCACTTTCAGGCACTGAAAGTAGTAATTCAAAACAACTCCTATAATACAAATAAGTATGTAAGTATATAAGGTTAAAGTAATAATTAAATACAACATGAAAGTAATATGTAAGACTTATAATTATTCAAATTACTTTAAATATGTAAAACTCTAAATTTTTCCTTGAAATTGTTCTACTGGCTTTTTAAGTATTAAAACCAGAGGAAAAACTATAATGCTTTATGTTTACATTATTGTTTTAATACATCATATTCCAAACAATGTTACTCTGTATGGGAAGCTTACCCATACCGATAGACCAAGAAGATTGAGATCTGGGAATATTATGAACTTAGTTGACAAAGTGATAAAAAGAAGTAGTCTGTCACCCATGTCAGTTTCCATCACTTGCAGAAAGAAGGAGCAGAATGATCAGCAAAGTGATTGCTTCACTTCTAAAAAGGAAGTAACAGTGTTTCTCCTTTCTTCTCTAACCACTACCCAGACACAGGAAGAAGAACAGGAAGGGATTTTAAAAGACTCAGAAAAATGTCAAACAGAGCAACTCAAAACATCAATCCAGCACAACTGCCCTAAATTATACAGAATAATTACTTTGCCTGAAGAAATTGGTATCAAGTGGCAAGAAGCGGAAAGTGTTAATGAGAACAATGGGATTAAAAGGGAAATGTTAATCTTCCACAAAAGTACGATATCAGAGATTAGCTGTGGTGAACAGAATACAAACTGGTAGGGCTAAACAGAAATAACAGATTAATCTGACTAGCATGCATTTCATTCAACAATGCAAAATTTAAATAGACAACACCAGCTTACACCAGATCAGCTGTTGATGTTAATGGTGTAATTTTGTCTGTTATTAGGCAACCTATTAAAATAGCTAAGTGACTATGGATTTTAGATAACCCTTTCCAGATCCTGTGATAATTAATTCTGATTGCCAACTTGATTGATAAGATTGAAATTCCTACATGATAGGCAGGACATGCCTGTGAGAGCATTTCCACAGAAGACTAGCTAAGAGGAGACTGACATGAGGTGAGCAGAACTGTCTACAGGCTGAGGTCCAAGTGGATTAAAGGACAATAATGGAGTCCATTCACCTGTGGGCATCCTCTCTGCTTCTTGCTTCAGGGTGAGAACAGCTTTGCTTGGCCAGGCCTCCTCCTCAAGATAGACTAAAACCCCTGAAACTGAGCCAAAACAACCCTTCTCTCCTAAGTTGTTTTCTCTGGCATTTGGTTACGGTCACAGTAAACTGTTTAACACAATCTATAAGGGAAATGGATCAGGTTTATAGTATAAGCCTGAGTAAGAAAAGAGACCCTAAAGACGGCAAAAGATTTTGTTTAGCTGAAGCTTCACGTGGACTTTATCTCCTGGAAAATTAGGAGTTAAGTTCAGAGCAAAAGAAACAGGTACTTTCGCAGAATAAACAGTGCTACAATAAAGAGAAGTCACTCAATTCACAAGTAAGTATTTAAGTGCTTAAACTTACAGGACTAATCTGCCAAGCACTAGGAGAACATCTTCACATTCAGTAGTTAAAAATGGACGTGCACTGGCAAAGCTTTGGATAGCAAGGCGGTATACCTCCAGAAGATACACAATGTGTTCTGATGCATTCTTGTTGCTTGCATATTGCAGTAAGGTCTAAAAAAAAAAAAATAATCATTTTACATCATTTTTCAAATAAAAACAAAACAAATTGATTCTTTGCACTCAAAAGCACTATTTGTTCCTTCTTTCATAACATGTGCTTATACAATGTCAAACACTTTTAGGTACCGGTTTGTTTAGAGGATTCTAAATAATGAATAATCCCCATGGAGTTATTGGGATACAGAATGGATCTTTTGACAAGACAAAATCTGAGGAGTAAAGCCATAATCCTGAGCTGGGTATCCCTATACATGCAGAATTACAAGTAGCAAGTTTGGTTAATACAACATTAAACTGAAGAGGAAAACGAGGGTTGCTACATGGACACCCTATCCCTAATAACAAAGTAAGTTTTTCCTCCCCCTTTGTAGACAATTACTATTCAGATATACTCCTAGATATATCCATGATAGAGAAAGGTAGCTGATCTGGCTGACATCTGTTTTGGGGGTATGAACAACTAGGCAAATTGTCCTGAGTTGAACTTTTAGAGAGAATTCCCTATTTACCATCTTATGCCTAATCATAATCACACTATATATAATTAAAGTCAGAGACATCATCAGAAGGGACAACTCAAGTCTGTCAACCCAAACAGAGAACAACCCAAAGTATGACCCCTAATAATCAGTCCCTCCTTCCCCTTGCACCTTATAACCAAAGCCCCAGGAAATAACCTGAGGCACTAGAGTATCTTTAACTCACATGGCCCATTGTCACTCAAATCCTGAGCTACACTATCTTGCTTTTGAATGAAGTGTTCTTGCTTACTCTTGCAATCTACACACATCTTTAAGACACCAAATGATGTGAGGCTGGGCATCTCGGTGCACACCTTTAATTCCCGCTTTGGGGCAGGGGCAGGAAGATCTTGCTCAGTTTGAGAGCCTGGCCTACATAATGAGTTCCAGGATAGCCAGGACTACATAGACAGAACTTGTCTCAAAACCAAAAACAAGCTGGGTGGTGGTGGATGCCTTTAATCCCAGCACACTCAGGGAGACAGAGGCAGGGGTATCATTGTGAGTTGGAGGCCAGCTAGGTCTACAAAGCAAGTTCAAGGGCAGTCAGAGATGTTACAGAGAAACCCTATCTCAAAAAACCAAAACCAAAAAAACCTCATGTGACTTTATGTTCATAGCCTCACATAAGCAGGATACCATTTTCCCTCTAGGGAACATATTCTAATTGGTCTGTAAAGCTCCTAATAAAATTAGGTTTTTAGTTAAGACTACTCATATAGCTAAATCTTATTTTCAGAAGGCAGGTTATTAGGGAATTCTATGTTACTTGAAGTTTTTGCCCTGAGAATAATTTGTTAACTTATTGTCTTGGAATTTTCTGTCTAAAGAACTACAAATAGGGCTAGTAAAATGGCTAACAGTTAATGACACTGACTACCAAACCCGATGACACCACACACACACACACACACACACACACACAATTTTTAAACGCTACAAAGAAATACACTAATAATACAGTATTCCAAACTTTCTACACTTTAGTGTTCACATTAAGATCCATTTCTGAGCTGGATGGGCTATAATACCCAGAGTTTTTACAAGAGGGTCAAGAGTTAAACATGATCTTTGACTTTGCAGTCTTAGGGCAGCCTAGGTTACATGACAGCCCACCTTAAAACAACAACAAAAGATCGCTACTGATATTTATTTATTTATTTATTTATTTATTATGCACAATGTTCTGTCTTCATGTATGCCTGCAGGCCAGAAGTGGGTACCAGATCTCATTACAGATGGTTGTGAGCCATCATATGGTTGCTGGGAATTGGACTCAGGGTCTCTGAAGAGCAGCCAGTGCTCTTAATCACTGAGCCATCTCTCCAGCCCCTATAGTGATCTTTTTAATCTGTTAATTAAAAAAAGAAAAAGAAAAAGAAAAAAACGAACCAAGAAACCCTCTAAAGATATGTAATAAATCATCATACTGCATATAGTAAAATGCTGCATTTAAATGGGCCACTAAGCAAAAACTAAATGGCCTTCTGTATTTTCAGAAAAGTAATGTATCATTTAATCAAATCATCTCTTCCCCTCCCCTCACAAAAACAGGATCTCATGTGGCCTAAGCTGACCTTGTCTACCTTGAGTGCTAGAGATCAAGCAAATCAGACTGGCACTCTACCCACTAAACTATAGCCACGGGCCAAGTTTCTCGCTTAAATATCCAAGACTTGGGATTTGTTTTTGTTGTGCTGACTTTTACTTATTTTTAAAGATGTGTTTTACTTTGTTTGACACAAGGTTTCAATATATAGCTTTGGTTGACCTTAAATTCACAGGGATCCACTTGCCTCTGCCTGTGAGCACTGGGGTTAAAGGCCTGAGTCCTTATGGCTGGCATTCCATTTTATTTTTAAAAAGTGCATTTGGGTACACCTTGAGTGCAGGTGGCAAAGGAGGCCACACACATCTGAACCTGCATCCCTTGTGAGCCAATCAATGTGGATGCTGAGAATTCAGGTCCTCTATAACAGTATATGCTCTTAAGTGCTAAGCCATCTCCCCAGATTCTTGATTTCTATTTTTATATTCCTAAATCCATACCTCCCCCATATGTTAAATAATGGGGTCTCCTTAATATACCCACTAGGATCATGCTTGACATTTCAATATTTCCTTAAACAATTGTCACTAGTTTTTGCTATTCATTTACTTTTTTGGGGTGCTATCAGAGACTGAAGAGTCTTGTACTTGGTAAGTAAACTCTCTACCACTAAGTTATACTCCCAAAGTTTTATCACTGCTTTTAATGCAAGATTAGGATGGATGAATTATATTTATCAAAATATAAACAAAACCCCATCAGAAGCATTTAAGAAAACTTTCCTTGCTGGGGGTGATGGTTCATGCATTTTAGCCTCAGCACTCGGGAGGGAGGGAGGAGGCAGGTGGATCTGTGAGTTCTAGGCCCGCTTGGTCTATAAAGCAAGCTCCAGGACAGCCAAGGCTACACAGAGAAACCATGTCTCAAAAAACAAAAACAGAGTTTTCCTGTTCTTTTCTTAACAAAGCTGGTAAACAATGATAAATATGAACCTTTTGAGTTCAGTGACATTCTACAGAGATCAAATTAATGAGATGTCTTCTTTGTGTCAATAAACTCATTTATTTCACAAACAAGGAAACGAGGTAAGTTTGAAAGAGTAACATACCTAATTATTTAGACACCATATTTAACTATTTAAATTCTCTTACAGGGTGCTCTTATTCAAGATCACCATCAGAAAGCTACCTCAAACCCTTGCTATTTAATTCAAACCCCTATTAAATATTTTCATCTGAATGGCTTATTCAAGTCCCAAACCCCAACATGTACAAAACCAAACATCTCCCCCAGAAACTACACCCTCTTTGCTTTTATTTCCTCTGCCTCTTTTCAGAAATCCAAACCAAAATTAATGTTGAAACCATCACACCAAAGTTTGTTGATTCTAGCTCAAAAAATAACTCAGCCCACCCACCACACCAGTATCCAGTACTTATTCTAAGTCCCCAATACTTTCATCTGAATTGCTCCAACAGCTCCCTTCTGCAGATCTAAATAATCTCCAACTCTCGGAGTGTACTATGAATGCAACATATTTGTACATTAAAGAATCAATGCAATAAAAAGACCACAAACACAGAACTAAAAAAATGCTAACACAGCTAGATGCAATGGTTATAGGATTGTGGGCTAGTTTTCTGCCATCTTTACATTTTATTCTATAAAATGATATATCAAGAGGGAATAATTTCCAGATGGTCACATTTTACGAAAGGGATGCATGCATTCCAATTTTAGTACTAATTTCCCCCACAGAAAGTAATAGTTAAATATTGGGCATGTAGTATAGAATAGGCACTTTTCTAAGGGCTTTCACCCTTTTACAGTCAGGAGTCACATGACAATGTTTTTAGTCAACAAGGGATTGTATGATGGCAGTCTCTTAAGATTATAAGAGAGACAACGGGATGTCCAGCTTTGAATCACAATGTTCATAGTTTTTGTGAATAGAGAACAAATTAAAAACTGGTGATGTTGGATCTGCAGAGATGGCTCAGAGCCATCAGAAATGGCTCAGCCACATTAAGTGCCCATTAAGAGTACATAGTACTTTCTATCATGAGATAGTCTCTGTTATGTAACTCTGGCTGTCATGGAGGACCCAGGTTCAATTCCCAGTATCCACAAGACATCTGTAACTCCAGTCCCAAGAGATCTCATACCTTCTTCTGACCTCTTCATGTACCAGCCACAGACTTGTATGCAAACCAAACAGCCATAATCATAAAATACAAATTTTAAAACAGGAAAAAAAAAAGATTTTTGTTCAGAAGTATGCCACACAGTGGGGATGGGAGACAAGCCTAAGGCTGGACCAAATCTCTACAGTCTGTCTGTGCACTTAAGCCACTGGATTCTCTGGCACAGATGGAAATAAGAACACAGATAGATAGCATCACCAGGGTAAAGAATACAGATTATGTGAAGAATCCCAAAATCCCAGAATGAAGCACATGAGAGGCAGGGGCAGGTGGATCTCTGATCAAGGCCAGCCTGACCTACATAGTTCATTCTAGTATAACCAGGCCTCCAAAGAAACCCTGTCTCAAAAATTGGTGTGTGTGTGTGTACGCGTGTGTGTTGTGCTGCTGAGTACAACAGCATGCTAGGCCCTCGCTAGCAGCTGCCTGCTTACAATGAGGAAGTGACTAATTAAAACCCTAACTCTTGCACCTTGTGCTGCTACTTGCACCCAACTCACACTTTCCACATTGTTACCTCTTAAAACTTATTTTTAAAAAGTACTGATAGGTTCTCTAGCCAGCCTCAAACTTCCCATTTAGGCAAGGATGATTTTGAATTTCTAATCCAGTTGGTTCAACCTAAATGTTGAGATTATGGGTCTATAGGCCTGTTTTATGTACTACTGGATTAGGGAGGGGGCAAATTCAGGGTTTCACACACAGTAGGCAAGCACT